TTGACCAAATTCAAGACCAAGACAGAACTGGTGAAGAAGGGGGAAAGCTTTTATTGGGGAGCCAGAGCTAAGCACATGAAGGAAATGCTACCCACTGCAGGGTCAGCACTGCCCAGCAACCACAGAGCAAGGGACCAAAAATAAAAACGGTGTGTGGGGGAAGCAGTCTGCAGTGGGGGACTGACGGTTTTCTCTCTCAAAGCTTTACAGCTATTTTAGATACCGACAGCTCTTTGCCCCCTGACCCTGGCAGGGAGGGCAGAGGCACCGAGGTTCCTTCCGCCAGTCCCTGCCCGCACCCGCTGCCCTTCTGCAGCCGAATTTATCCTCCCCCCCGCCGTGATGTCCAGGGGATCTCGGCCCGGGGGAAAAGATGCGTGTATCTCCCCATGCAGGGCAGCAGCCTCCCGAGGAGCCACTGCTCCGGGCGGTGCACAGGGCTCCGCTCGGCCCGGCCGCCCCCCGCGCAGTCCCCTCGGAGCCCCGCACCCGCGCAACGGCGCGCCTTGCTCCCGCGGCGGCGGAGCCCACCGGCCTTCGGCACATAAATCAGCATTAGACCCATTCCCCCCTCCGATCCCTGGTGCCACCATCTATTACTCCCCCAGTGCTTTTTCTATCACCTTTTGTTAGAATTACACAGCCGGAAACTTAATTTACCCGGAGCTTTAAAGACAAATAAACACAGGCAGGCCGGTATCCCCGCGATATGCCTATTTGCTCCCGCAATCAGTAGATTATTATGAATTGTTGTGATTTTCAGACTGCTGCTGTTTTAAACATCTTCTCAGACACTCTCCCCGACTAGAAAGAAGAAAAAGCGAAGCCGACCACCCTCCCCGAGCAAGGGACAAAGAGCAAAAGACTATGGCACTTATGCTGGGCTTTATTTACTTTTGCTATTATTGCTATCATTATTTTTGAAATTTGGAACGAGCGAGGTTTTTCAATTGTTGAAATAATTGCCTGGGAGAAAGGTTGCTTAATCTGCTCATACATTATTGACTCGGGCTCCAATATTTGGCTTGCTGTTTTTTATCGCAGGAAGATCACGTACGAGAGTCTTTTGCATAACAATTTTTAAAGAGGACACATCCTTATATCAAAAGTGAACGTGACTTGAATTTTGCCGGCGTTTGTCCCTAAAATGACCCAATTCCGGTTACTGCCACTGGGCAGCAGCAACATTGCATCATTTCTCCAGGCAATAGACACATTTTGCTTTACTCTCTGTCCTTTTCCCTGTCGCTTCCCCCCTTTTTTCTCTTCCCCCCACTCCCCCCCCCCCCCCCCCCAACCCAACGCGGAGTTTTAAAGCTGATTATTTTGTCTTGCTGCATTTTAGCCCTACACACAGTTTCCTCTCCCTGGGAACGGATGAGCAGAGAGAAGCAATCCCGGCTAGTCGGAGCAACATGGATAATTAAACCCGAAAGTTTCCATCCAAGGTAGAAATAGTGCCTTCAACGAAATGTTGCTGTAAGCCGCCGCATAGAGACCCCGGCACCAGTACCAGCGCCTGCAGCCACTTCCCCGAATATCATTTTCTCAATGAGAATCAAAAGAGCCCCCCTCTCCCCTAGTTTTTCAAATCGAAATCGAGCTGCCTGCCAACCCCACTGGTCAAGTTAATTCCGGAACAAAGGAGGACAGAAACACAAAGCATTTCTCCCCCCCACCCCTTCACCCCTACTTCCCCCTTTCTCCCCGCTCTCTCCTCCTCACACCTCCCTGGTGCCTGCACCCCAGACCGGCGAAGGCCGGGACAACCCCACCCCCCGAAATCGCCTCCCAGGCCCAGACCCTGCCTGCAGCCTTGGTGATGGGAGTTTGTGAAATAGAACGGGGAAGACTGGCTGTGGTGAGGGGCACAGGACTCGGTTCTCGTTCAAAGCATTGGTATTGGGAGATAGCCCTGGGTTGGGAGGGGAGAAATGAGGACACCCATGTCCCCCAGCATTGGTGCTGTTGTTTTGACCTCGGGCTAGTAAATACATATATAATTAAATAGAATAAAATTAAATAAAAAATAAAATTAAAATAAAATTTAAAAATAACAAACCAAGACTGGATCTGCTCAAGTCGGTGGTGGGCAGTCCGGGCCGCCCCGTAAAGCAGGCACCCTCAGCGGGCTGCAGAAGACGTGTGCCTGAGGGACGGGAGAGGAACCGGGAGCATCCATCCGTCAGTGGGAGAGTGGACCAAACTTCCTACGAGCGCTGCCACCCGGCTCCAGGGAGCTGGGCGGTCAGGGAGAGCCCCTCGGGGCTGTGAGGAAGCCGGGGGTGGAGGGGGAGTAGTGTCCTTGTGCACCCTCCGAGCTAACAGCCTCACCTATTTGCACACATTGATGTGCAAGAGGATACTTCTCTGCACACCCGTTGTACCCACGTTCAGATGCCCAAATGTAAGCGCAAATCCTCACACGCAAATGCACGCCCAGGAGCGCTGCCCGCGCGGGCTGGGAGACACGGCTGTTCCCTGCGCCTCTTTGTCAGCCCAAGTTCCAGAAGCAGGGGAAGTCTTTACTGCCACGAAGAATCCCGCTATCACTCGAGGTGCAGAAAGTCGTAAGGGGCTGTTCCCAACACCGAGCCCCGGCACCCGGCTCGGGCAGCGACCCTCCCCACCCCCCCGCAGCCCAGCGGAGCAGCCCCGACCCTGGCCCCGCTGCCCCGGAGGCGAAAGTGTCCCCGGCTCTTCCTCGGGCTACACGGCTCCCCGAGTAGAGACAGAAACAGGGAGAGACATAGGTAGTAGCGAGAGCAGGAGGAAATTGGAAACACATTTAAAAATGTAAATGGATTGGAGCCAGCAGGACACTGTGAGAGGGGGGAGAGAAGGCGCAAGGCGAGATCGGCCCGGCTGCGGACCCAAACCCTGCACAACAACTTTCAGCCCCTCTCCGTAATGTATTTAGCGAGGGGACGGAGGGATCTGCCCTGGAGCGGGGTAGAGCAGCGCTCAGGAACATCCAGAGTAGCTTAAGCCAGGCTGCAGGGAGGCGGCCAGGCTGGAGGTTGCCGCTCGGACAGCTCGCCCGCCGGAGGGATGTCGCTGCCCGCCCGACTCTAGCGTTGCCTGCGACAAGCGCCTGCGACGCTGGGGCTTCTTGAGGCCGATCCAGGTGACTTGTGCTGCTCGCAGCGAGGTAGGGTGGGCTGCAGATGTGGGTGGGAGGCGGGAGGGGGCTCGGGAAGCAGATGGGAAGGGGGTTGCAGCCCGGCCACTGGAAAGCAGCGGGCTCTTCTCTCTCCTATCTTGTCCTTTTCTCTTTTTTTTTTCCTTTCTTTTCTTTCCCTTTTCTTTTCTTTTCTTTTCTTTTCTTTTCTTTTCTTTTCTTTTTCTTTTTTCTCTTTTCTTTTCTTTTCTCTTTTCTTTTCTTTTCTTTTCTTTTCTTTTCTTTTCTTTCTTTTCTCTTTTCTTTTATTTCCTTCTTTTCTTTTTTGTTTTTTTTCTTCCTTTCATTTTCTTCCTTTCCTTCCTTTCATTTTCTTCCTTTCCTTTCCTTTCCTTTCCTTTCCTTTCCTTTCCTTTCCTTTCCTTTCCTTTCCTTTCCTTTCCTTTCCTTTCCTTTCCTTTCCCTTTTCTCATTCCTTTTCCTTTTCTCATTCCTTTTCCTTCTTTCTCTTCTCTTCTCTTCTCTTCTCTTCTCTTCTCTTCTCTTCTCTTCTCTTCTCTTCTCTTCTCTTCTCTTCTCTTCTCTTCCCTTCTTCTCTCCTCTCCTCTCCTCTCCTCTCCTCTCCTCTCCTCTCCTCTCCTCTCCTCTCCTCTCTCGTTTTTATTTTCCTGTTTTCCATGCTTCTTCTCTTTTTTCCTTGTCTTTTCTGGTTTATGTCTTTTTTCTTTTCCCTCTTTATTTTCTTTTCCTTTTTCATTTCATTGTCTTGGTTTTTCTTTTCTTTTCTTTTCTCTTTTCTTTTCTTTTCTTTTCTTTTCTTTTTCTTTTACTTTTTTTCTTTCTTTTCTTTTCTTTTCCCTTTTTTTGTTGTTCTCACCCTTTCCCTTTTTCTTTTCATTTTTCTTTCCCCTTTTGCTTTTTATATTTCTTTTTTCTTTCTTCCTTCCTTTTTTTTTTTCTTTTTTTTTTCCCCTTTGTAAAAGGTGAAACAGACCAATAATATCTCTGAGAATGAAAAAGACAGTTTTCCCTCCTCTTCCCAGAAACTTCTGTGGGATGTTTTCGTCTCCGTCCCCCTTGGGAAGCTGGGAGAGACAATGAAGTAAATAAAAAAACTTTCCTACAGTTCCCTGTGACTTGAGATCCGGTCTGCATTGCTGGGGCAGGGGTGGTCCCGGATAGTAATTGATTCATAACCGTACACCAGGACTCCAGGGCACCACGTTCTCGGCGCCCCGGGAACTTCTCGGGGGAGCGGGGTGGCGGTCCTATCCGCCCGGGTCGGAACTGCGGGGCTGCGGCGACACCGCGTCTCCCCACAGCCCGGCCCTCCTTGCCCCTAAAACCTACCACTTCTTCCTTCCCTGCGTGTGTACGGGTGTGATTTGGGTACCCAAGAGATATAAACCTGTGCCCCCCAAAAAATGTTTCGAGCGAGGCTGCTTCCAATACCTATTTACCAACGAATTATACTGCTATTATTGCTTTCAATGAAGACTGAATCCCCAAGCGATAATTGAATTAGTCTATTGAAGAGACTGTCAGGTACAATGACGTGGTATATCCCGCGCCTTTCCCAGGGTCTATAGGCTTTGGGGACCCGGAATGTATAGTCTGACCTTACAGCTCATAATAATAATGCTGCACTTGTAGCAGAAATCTATTCGTATTCACTTTTAACAAAACCTCTGGTCAGCCAGTCCCTGTAGGAAGGATGAAATCTATTGTATTAGAACAACTCATTTATGTCCTTCAGCAAAGGCCCCAATGAGATCTGATCTAGACCTAGAAATAGGATTACCACAGCGTATATTAACCACGTTTCTATACTTCCTCCTTCCTATAAGGGCGCCGGAAAAAAAAAAATGGTGCGAAGGAATTCTGATACTCTTTTAATTTTATTTTTAATTTAAATTTTAAAATCTCCTCCCTTTGGTGGCCTCTCTCAAACAGAATAAAAAGAAAAGAATAACAAGAAGAAAAGAAAGTAAATGCAACGAAATCGGAGAAATCATTCCGGCCAGTTTCCGAAGAGGCTGAGGTCGCCGCAGAGACGGGAGCAGTGCGGGCTTCCTCCCCGCAACCCGGCGGCTGGCACCAGGGCCCGGGTCCCCGGCCCCGCCGCCCCTCGGCTGCTTTCACCCTCCTGGATTTCATCTTCTCTATCTACGCCAGGGGGGGGACGGGGGGACGACAGACCCAAGCGCCGCAGCTGGGAGCCGGTGGGGACATCGTCCTGCAAGAGGCTCAGACCGCACCAGGGCACTTCCGAGGGGCAGCGAGCCCCGAAGCCCAGCTCCCGGTTCCCGTGCGGGAGACTGCTCCGTACGCTAAGCCCCACGACGGCAGAGGGCGTGGGGCTCCGCGGGGCCGGATCCCTTTGACGGGCACTCCGAAACCCGGCGGCGCCCACAAGTCACAGAGTGAACTTTTTTTCTGAGAAGGGAGTATTATTTGTTTTAAGCCTCCGTCTTTACGGCACGGTGCAGACATACTACTCCGATTACTGTATCTGCAAACCGGAGAGTAATATTTATCTATTTCGATAGGAAGAGTCGCGGTGGAAAAAATATCCATCCTGGAAATGTATATCGTCTTTTCCTTTAACCCCTCCTTATTCATTGAGGCGATCCCCCACCCCTTCCGTACACAAACCTACTCGATTTATAGAGAAGCCTTTAAAATCCAGACCAGTTTCTAGAAGAAGGGAGGATTCCAGATGAAATAATTCCCCCCCTACATACACCCACACATACATACACGCACACACTTCGCACCCCCCCCCCCCCATTCCTTCCCTCCTCCCCCCCCCCCCCCCCCCGCCCTCGGGAAGGCAAATTAGATAGTTAAAGGCTTCGATTTCTCTCTCTCTCCCTTTTGTTACCCAATTTTGGAACATTTAAGGATGGGTGTGTGTATTGTATTCAATAATAAAAGCTATAGGGCCGCCAGGACATTTATCATCCTATTACTGTAACAAATCCGGGCTCCCAATACATGAAAGGTAAAATGAATTACCGACGTTAAGCCGTCAATAAAGTCATTTCTGTAAATGGTGTCTCCGAAGGACTGCAGCATTATTCAACTAGCTTTATCAGCAGCTGGGAAATTACGTGAAGAAGCTCGCAGCGTGTAATATGGCCCTGCTTACTTTGATTAAGCGTCTTGCCAGGGAATAGTGACAGTGCTTTTGACCAGGTTTTATTCGCCGTCCTGTGATGAACGCCAAGCTGATCAGGCGGAATGAAGAGTAATTAAAACCTATAAATTATCTTTTGCAGCCCTTCTCAAGGCGTCTCTTGCAGGAGAGATAAGGCAGCGAGCCCCCATTTACAGCTCTGAAAGGGACCGCGGCTCACAAAGGCTACGTGGCTAAATGGGATATTGATAGTGTCCTAATTAGAATTTAATTAAGTACCCACGCTCGCTTTTGGGATAAAGATTTCAATTTTGCTAACTTAAATATAAATAAACCCAATTTCGGTGCGAGTAAATGATATGATATTGTGAATGCGGGGGGGGGGGGGGGGGGCTAACATTCATTTAATTGCGGATGAAGCTCTTGATTCTGGGGCTGATTGTGTTTCGCCAGCTATTATTTTAGGGGATTATTGTATGACTGGAAGTAACAATTCGGTAACGTTTTCCCGGTGGGGAAAACAACTATCGTGCTTCGGAGATAGGAGCACACACACGCTGCCCGGTAACCGGGGGAGCTGCTGCCGGGCCCCGGAGGTGTCTCCTCCAGCTCCCGGTGCCGGTTATCTCCCGAAAGCGGAACACCGTGCCGGGCCGCCTCCCGAGCGGCTTCCGAGGAAGGAAGAGCCGGGCTGGGCCGGCGGGGCGAGGAGGGGACCGGCCGCTGCAGGCACTGCGTCTCAGCCTGCCGGGGAGCGCCGGGACACAGACACATGCTGGTATGGGGGGTTGAGCACGCACTCGTGCACACACAGAATACATAGGCGGCGGCGAGTGACGCGGACCGGCCCACGGAAGGGCGCGGAGCGGCGCAGAGCAGAGCGCGGGACACCGCGGCCTCCTCAACCCTGCTGCCCGGCCGCCGTTTTGAGGAGGGGAAGAAGATGGGGATTTTCTGTTACGTCAGAAGGAGAAAACGCCGGGAGTTGCTCTTCCCGCATACCCGGGAAGCAGCCGCGGGCCGGGGAGCGTCTCCGGCCCGGAGCAGGTGTCTGCGGTCGTCCGGGAAGCGACCGGGCCTCGGAGCCCCCGGCCCGTCGGGACACGCTGTCGTGTAAAACTTGAGATGTCGTGGGAGCCCCACCCCCTCGTGTCCGTTCGTGGGGACACCGACATTTTCCCTCTCCAGGGCAGCAGAACCTCCACGCAGGGAGCAGCCGGTTTGGAGGTACCGACGGCGGCAGAGCCACCCTTCCTATGGCGCCTAGCTCGGCCCTGGCAGTCCAGCAAAATCCAAACTGGGCTCAGGGCATTTGTACTTTTTCTTTTCTGCAAATTATTTTCTATAAGAGCTTCATCAGTCCCCAAAGAGTGGCTTTTTGCTTCCAGCTTCTAAAATCCTTTGAATTTCCCTTCTGGCTCTACACGTGAGGCGAGGTGCTCACTCTTTGCCGGGCAAAAAAAAAACCAACCACCCAAAACAAATACAAAAAAACCCCACCCAACCCCACCCCCCAGAAACATCCAGGGAAAAAAAAATCCCCCCAAACCCCCCCAAAAACACAACAACAAAAAAACAAAACAAAGAAACAAGAAAACATGAAAAAGAAAGCAGCAAACCTAACCCAAACAGACGATACGAACTGAGCTGTGACCTGTCAGCTAATTTGCTTCATATTCCGAAGAATGAAAAAAAGACAACCCAAAATCCCAACAGAGGAACAAACCAGTCGAGCGGCTGCAGCTGTTAAGACCAGCTCACCCCGGCAGCGGCTCCTGCCTTTATTTATTGTTATTACTATTGCTATTAATAATAATTTTCATTCCTCAAAAAGAAGTTTTGATGCCTCGCAACCCTCATCGCGCTCGCCACCTCTCCTCGCTGCCAAACCCGGCTGCGGGGGAGTAGAAAAAGAAGCGCAAAAGACGAAAAGAGGACTCAAGAGATTTCGGGAGAGGGGGGTATTATTTGGGGGGGGGACAATAGGGAAGCGGCCGATGACCAACTTCAGCGCAAGACACGACGCGGCTGGAAGAAGTTGTTTACAGGGCTGGGCGGGGGTTGGGGGGTGCCTGTACACCGTTGTCGGCGGGGCCCGGTGCCGGTGCCTCCGCCCCGTCGCGCCCTGTCCCGTCCCGTCCGGTCCGTCCCCACGCGGTATTTATCGCGGCGGCCCGACGGGCGCCCATTGGCGGCTGCGCGGGGTGTCAGCGGCGGCGGCGCCGCGCCATTGGCCGTCCCCACGTGCGGGGCCACCTCACGTGCTTCCGGTGCGAGTGAAAAAAGTGTGGCTGAGGGATTTTTTAGGGAGAGTTTGTTGCACGGACCGGAGCTGTCAGAGATTTGGGCTTTTTTTTTTTTTTTAATTTTAATTTTTTTTTCAAGGCAAAAAAAATACCCAAACCACCAAAAAAAAAAGGGAAAATATATATATAAAAAATTAATTACTAATATCCCGGCCCGGTCGGCGGGCAGCAGGGCGCTGGCAGGGACGGGCCCCAGCAGCCGCGGCGTGGGCAGAGCGGAGCGTGACAGCGGGGAGCGCGGAGCAGCCGCGGCGGCGGGGCGATGGGCAGATTTTGACGGCTTTTGTTGGGGCGGGTTTTTTGGGGCCCGAGCGGAGCTGCCGCCGCACACTTTTGTGGGGTCAGTGTAGGGGGGTTTCTTTTTTCACTTTTTTTTTTTTTTTGATGGAAATATAAGCTGATCGGGAGAAGGGGGAGAGAAGCTCTCGAGTGTCTCCCCGGTTTTGGATCCATCCGTGCAAGGGGGAGAAAAAACATCTCAGCTCCAGCCCAACAAGTGGATTTTTTTTTTCTTTTTTTCTTTTTTTCTCTCCCTCATTCTTTCTTTTTAATAGATATATTTTTCTCATATTTTTCTTCCCCCTTTTCCACCCCGCCACCCACCGGCAAAGTGGGGTGGGTGTAAAGCGGGTGGGTGGGGGGGAAAGGAGGCAGCGAGCTCCGTGGCGGGGGCTGAGCATGGAAGAGCCGCCGGAGGGGCACGGCCACCGAGAAGCGGCGCCTGGCCCGGCGAGCAGCGGCAGCGGCAGCGATGGAGAGAGCGTGCCTGTGTCCCCGAGCCCCGCGCCCGCCTCCCCCGCCGCGCCCTGCTCCCTGCCCCTGCCCCGTCGCCGCCACCCGCCGCCCCCCCCACCGCCGCCCCACCGAACCACCAACTTCTTCATCGACAACATCCTGAGGCCGGACTTCGGCTGCAAGAAGGAGCCGCCCGCGCCGGCCGGCAGCGGAGGAGGCAGCCGGGAGCGGGACGGAGACCGGGGGCAGAGCTCAGGTAGAGAAAACGTCAACCCGCTGCTGGCCCGGCCGCCCAACCCGCCCTCCCTCCTGTGCCCGGACTCGAACTGCCGTCCTGACGGCCCCGCGCCGCCACCGCCGCCAGCAGCCGCCAAAGCCAGCCCCGCCGCGGCGACAGCGGCGGCGGGGGCGTCGGGGACGGTCAAGCCCCCCGCTGACGGGGGCGAGACTCACCCGGCGAAGTACGGGGAGCACGGCAGCCCCGCCATCCTCCTCATGGGCTCTAATAATGGAGGACCTGTTATAAAGCCCGACTCGCAACAGCCGCTGGTGTGGCCGGCCTGGGTCTACTGCACTAGGTATTCAGACAGACCGTCCTCGGGTAAGGAACCGCGGCGCATCTGGGAGCTGTTAAAATCGTGACAAGGTCGTGTCCCCCCCCCCCTCCCTTCCCTCTTCCCCTTTGCTTTGGCTCCCGGCCTGCTAAAGACCTCGCGTGGGGCGGCGCGGGGAGGGGGGATGGTCTTGGGTCACCCGGGGAGAGAGGAAACGCGTGCTCCCCCCAACCACCCCTCCTTCCTCCTCCGAATCTCCCAAATTTGAATGTGACGCCGGGGCTCCGATTCGGCCGCGTTTTCATGCGGAGACCCGGCGGGGAGCGACCCCTTCAACCCCGCAGCCTGGGTTCTTTCGCAGCGCGGCGGCGTGGGGCGGGAGCGCTGCGAAAAACGGCCGCGGATTCGGCTGCTTCCGTGTCTGGGGGCTATTTGTCCCCTTTTATTTTTTCCCTGGGTGCTAGTGGCCTTTCAGGGGTGGCGGCGGGGGCGAGTCCTGAGCCACATGTTGAGTGGCTGCTGGAGGTACGTGCCGAGATCTGTTTGCTCAGAAAGAGAAGAAAAATATTTAGTGGGTTTTTTTTAGGAAGGTGGCGGAGAGGCTGTTTACCGGGCCCTCTGCAACGAGTCTGAGGCCCTTAGGCCGCGCTTTGCCGCGGAAGCCGGTGCTCCCGGCCGTGGTATGAGGCCCGGCTCTCGGGAGGGGACGTGCCTCTGCCTGGGGCTGCCCCCGTGGGAGCCGCCTGCCCGGCTCTCCGGCCTCAGCCCGTTCTGTCGCCCCTTCAAGGAACTTAAAACTCCCCCACATGCCCCGGCAGCCCCTTGTTTCATCACCGTTAGTTTCTGTTTCCAATTTTTTTTTTTTTTTTTTTTTGAAAGAAGCAGAAGGCGAGGAGAGAGGGCTCCCCTTTGACTCCTGAGGCCAGCAGCCAGGGATCCGCTAGCCGGGGCCGGGTTCGGCTCCCCTGTGCCTCGCCTGGGACACGGGGCCGGCTTCCCCGGGGTCGTTTCAGGACGCGGAGAAGGCGGCTATGGCCGGCCCCAGCTCGGCTTTGCGGCTTGCTGGTTGCGGTCAATGCGGCGCTTCCTACCTAGCCATCTCCATCCCCTGTTATTGACACGTCCAGCGACTTGAAACTCAGAAAAGCCACTTTGATTGACCCCTGTGATTGATGGAGTGATAGAGCTGTCAGACAGCGTGGCCGTCGCTCCCGGCCGGCCCGGCCACGGCTGTTTTGCTACAGATTCCCAGGGCCTCCGTGCGCCAGGCGTTTTGCACTTGCGCCTTCGTTTCCTCTCCTTCCCTTTCTTCGGACATAGGATTATTCCTCTATATCCTCATTGAAGCTTTCTCCTTGCCCCAGTCCGGAGAGGAGAAAGAAGGGCGAGGGCAGGTTGGTGCGGCTCGGCTTTGCTCAGTCGCCCTCTTTGTTGTGCTCAGAGCTGTCCGCTGGTCCCAGCCGCTTCTCCCTGCTTCGGGGACTAGCGGGCTGCAGTAGTCGGAGGCGCCGGCACCCCGCTGCAAGGTACTGGAGCACAGCGACTCCCTCCCCTCATCCTCTGCCCCTCCGCCGGCCAAGCCCGGGAGCATCCCTCCGGGCCCCTTCCCTCTCCCTGCCAGCAGACACCACCGAGACGCGGGGAACTCCCCTCCTGGGGAAGGTCTGCGCCGGGAGAGGAGGAGAGAAGCTTTCGGCCTACTCGGCGGCCAGAAGGCCTTGCCGGCTGCGGCTGCTGCTGGCGGGGGGCTGAGGACCCGGGACCGCCCGCCGAGCCAGGCATCTGTCGGGTGATTTTTGTAGATCATTCTCTCCTCCTCTTAAGGGCTCCGACCCTTTTCTGCTCCCCCCTGGCCGGGCCGAGTTGGCGTGCAGAGCACCTGGGGTACCTCCCTCCCCCGGCCGGGGACTGCCATCAGAATGCGGCCCGGAGCCGGGCTGCTTCCCGGCGAGCTCTGTGACACTTCGCACGGCCCCATCCAGGCCTGGGGCGGGGGTGGCACTGCTTTAGACTGAGGTTCGTGGAGGGAGTCGCAGGCGGAGCCGGGGCTCCTTGGCAAAGATCGGCCGCTGGCCATCCCGGACCGGGCATCGGCTGGACTCTGGAGTGGTGGAGGAGCAGGCTCCCCCGGGACTGGGCCGCCCATGCGGTGGGGGTTGTTCCCCCCCGCCCCACCCCAAAGAGACTGGCGCAGCCCCCGGCCAGGCTGCTGCTCCCGGCGGCTCCGCGGTGCCGGCTTGCGGGGCCCTCGCCCCCTGCGCTGCCCGGCGGAGTGCCCGGCCGGCGGACTCCGGTGTCGGGCCGTACAGAGGGGAGAGCGGCTCGTCCTGCCGAGGCGGGCGGAGCGGCTTCCCGACTTGTGTCGGGGCGGGGGGCGATAGGAGCACTGCAGGTACCGGCGGGGCCGGCTCGGTGGGGGGTACGCGGTTGGTGCGACGCTCTCGGCCCCGACCTTGCCTCTCCTTCCCCATCCTTCTCTCCGCTGTAATGGGGACTGCGGTGCCGGGATTAGGGATATGTGGAGGACGGGGTACACGGGACCGGCATAAATTCGCCGTCGGCCATTTTTCCGGCGGCCGGCGGTGGATGGGGGGGGGGGGGGGGGGGGCGGCGGTCGGTTGGTCGGTCGCTCGGCGGCGCGGCCCTGCCCTGCCCAGCGGCATGTGTGTACCCTGCCCGCAGGCCCCCGCACCAGGAAGCTTAAGAAGAAGAAGACGGAGAAGGAGGACAAGCGGCCGCGGACGGCGTTCACAGCCGAGCAGCTACAGCGGCTGAAGGCGGAGTTCCAGGCGAACCGATACATCACGGAGCAGCGGCGGCAGAGTCTGGCCCAGGAGCTCAGCCTCAACGAGTCCCAGATCAAGATCTGGTTCCAGAACAAACGAGCTAAGATCAAAAAAGCGACGGGCATCAAGAACGGACTGGCGCTGCACCTCATGGCCCAGGGACTCTACAACCACTCCACCACTACCGTGCAGGACAAAGAGGAGAGCGAATGACCCCCCCAGCCCAGAGCCGCGGCGCCGGCCCGCCGGCCGGGAGGCAGACAGGTGTTATTTAAAAGCAGATCTATTGTCTATCCATAGTATAAGGACTCCAATCACGAAAAAAAATATGAACACTTAAAAAAAAAATATATAGCCAAACAGCATATGACCTTGTATATATTTAATTTCAGGTAAGAAATATGTGTAGCGATCTCTATTTGCTGGAAAGTTTCCCCTTCTATCTCTTCCCCCCTCTTTTGTTTGTTCATTTTGTTTGCTTTCTTTTATTTTTATTTTTTTCTCTCGATGTCCGTCGCTCTTGTTTTACAGCAATTGTCCGACTTTTCCGATCTTTCGTTTGATCTCATTTCTTTTGTGTGCGTGTGTGAATTTGTCTTTTTATTTTTCCTGAGGAAAAAAAAATAAAAATGTTCTGATCCACAGACTGCGAGACTGAACCCGCCGCTACAAGCCAAAGATTTTATTATGTTCAGAAATCTGTAGTCTGAAATAAAGTGTAGACTGTGTTCAGGATCCAGAGTGCCTGTAATTCTTTGTTTTAGTGTGTGGACGTTTGTATATATGTATATATATACAAAAATATAAAAAATAAATATATATATATACACGATATGCTGTGTATATAGTGCCATTGCAGAGGCGTGTTTAGGTTTTGTTTTCGATAGAACAGTGCGGCAATTTTTAAACTGCTCATCCTTTGCTTAAAACCTTGAGACCTTCGTTTGTTGTTTTTTTTTTAATATTTTTATTTTCCTACCTTCTTAAAAAATGAATTCTTTTGCTGTTGCGGTCTTGCCTCACCTCCCGCCATCTCCCTTTTTAACAAGAAATAAAACCCACCCTGTAATAATGGTAATAATGTATCACCAGCTCCTGCAGGAAAAAAAAAGCCTGAATCCGTCTGGATGGTTAGAACTCCGGGATACGATGAAAAGGGATTTATTTGCCTGGAAGCTCCTTGCCTCGCACCGAGGGGGTCTGTCTGCTCCCCGACTGAGTTTCCAGCGAGGATATTTACCCGGGTAGGGCAGAGCCGGGGCGAGGAGAGGAGACGCTGCCGGAGCGATTGCCGCTCGGCAACGGTAGCTTCGCCACCGCTGCCCGGGAGCGCTCCCGCTTCCCGGCGCTGCCCACCGCTCCCCTATCGGAGCGGTGCTAGGGCTCACGTTTGCCCGTGGGAAGCGCGGGGTCGCGGAGGGCCGGCGGCGCGGCGGGACTCCCAGCTGCGGCCCCTGCTCTGCTTTTTCACCCATGCCAGGTAAATTCGGGGACGCTCTGCTCCTCGTCCGGAACACCGACGAGCCCGTGGCTTTGGCCTCGAGCCGTCGAGGGCCGCCGTGCGGGGGCCTTACGGCCACGCGTGCTTTGCGTGGAGCCCCGCGGAGCCGCAGGAGTTGGGGGTCCGCTTCTTTCGGTCCCTACAGAAGCCGGGCTCCCGGGGGTGCGGAGAGCTGCCAGGCGCCCGACAGGGGTGTCTGTCGGGTTTTATTCTCCCTTCTTTTTCTTTCACCTCCTCTGAACTCCTTCCCGGGTGCCGCAGCAGGCGGAGCGGAGGGTAGAAGAAGACAGAGCTAGAGCAGGGGTGCGACCTTATTCTGCACCACTTCTGGAGGACGGGGGCGAAGTCGAGGCCATGCCCGGGGGAGAGGGACAGGGTGGGCTGGGGCGCGGAGGTGAGCGAGCAGCAGCACCCGCGGCCGGCACAGCCTGCAGCTCCCATCAAATCTGCAGCTTCGCCCCTCCTTGCCCCGTCGTAGGCACTAGGGGGTTTCCGTCTGTTCGAGGATAAGGGGAACAGAGATGGCCTCTCATTTTTCTGTGCTTTTTAACTGTTTCTCCTTAGGGCTGCCGTCAGTTGACAACAACCGAGAACGGAGGCGCAGGAGTCCCCTGCCGTCCGCCCTCGCTGCCAGCTGAGCAGAGCCCCTACTTAACGCCATCTCACCCCATACCACCGCAGCGCATCCCACTCCAGCGCATCCCCATGCATCCCCGCCCAGCTCAGCCCTCCTCTGCTCGCAGAGGCC